AGTTTCAGCTTTCAGTATATTGCCTTACATACTCGGTACATTATTTCATACTGACGTCCCTTTCCTAGGGGCGCTGCATTTCATGCGTGTAGGTTCAGACAAACAGATGGGTAGGCCTCCTCATTAGGTGTTGCCCGAGTTCAGCTTGATCGGTAAGCTCCATGCCTTTCGGAGTTGCCGGGTCTAGAGCCTTATGTACATCTTGTATATATATGTATATATGTTATGAGTAGGTCGGGGAACTGTTCCGATCACAGTATATCCATCAGTAGAGGCTTGTAGACATATCATGTCAGTGAGTGCAGTATGTTGGGCTTGCATGCATTGTATGTATATTTGGTTGGTTTGTCAGCTGTAATAATTATGACGGCATTGTCGGCCCAATTTTATATTGATATTTAGTCAGCATTCGCAGTTGTATTGCAATGTGGTCCATGACCAAAGTATGACATCATAGGTTCAGAGTCCCTGAGTTGCAAATTGGTATGCAAGGATAGGTGAGGCACTGGGTGCCGGTCTCGCCCTCCAGGTTCGGGACATGACACTTCAGTCTCATTTCATATGCTGGCAGACTGCAAATCATTAATGTAGTATTATTTTCCATCCATAGCTTCTGGGCACAGTGTTCATACTACCTCAAAGTGTACTCAACGAGGTAGACAGGATATGCAAAAAATATCTATGGGGCAGCTCGGAGGAGAAGAAGAAGCTGTCCTTGGTTGCTTGGGAAAAGATTTGCTATCCTAAGTAGTAAGGAGGATTGAATGTTAAGGATAGCAGGAACTGGAATATGACATCAGTGGGTAAGCTATTATGACAGTTGATTAAGTGTAAAGAAGCATTATGGGTGAAGTGGGTAGATATGGTGTACATGAGAGCATAAATAAATATATGGAACCATCAGCCCCGAAAGATAGTAGTTGGTATTGAAGGAAGCTTAATGGTCTGAAAATCAAAATATAGAGCTGGTATGAGCAAGATAATTAATTATAAGCTTACTAGGAGGGGTGACTACTCTATTACTAGTAATTATCTTGCTCTCATTGGTGATCATTCTAAGTTGAAAATAGCTAATCTGATATGGACCTCATTAGGTCAACCTAAGCAAAGATTTATAGCGTGGTTGGCAGTGCATCAGAGGCTACTCACAGGGGATAGGCTACTCAAGTTGCAAATCTCAGTGGAGGACAACATGTGGTGTTAATGTAATGCTCCCATGACCGAAACTAGTGTCTACTTGTTTGTGGAGTATACATGGATTATAGCTCTAAAGCAAGAGGTAAACCAATGGACAGACATCAAGGTACCGACAGTTAATATTACGCAGGCATTGGATAGTATTAACATGAAATATTGGAAGGTCTACAAGAAAGAATTGGCAGCTGCTATCAATGATGTTATGATCTTTCACACATGGCGTGCTAGGAACTGGAAGATATTCAGAGGCATCACTGTACATAAAGAGGATGCATTACAATAGATGATGAAGGAGATTATAGAAAGTATAGAGGTTACCAGAAATTCACATAAAGCACGTAGAAGTAGGAGTTTAGTACAAGTCCTATATAATTAGAGTACATTGTAATTACTTCTTGTTTCGTTGGAGGCCTCATTTCTGATTGATTCAGGAAGGAGGTGCTCTTTATTTGTAATGATTTTTGGAATTAATGGTAATTTGACAATGGTTACCAAAAAATAATTTATCTTTAAATTTTTTACTTATGAATTACGGTAGATCATAAATTTTAAAAGTCATTATTTTTTAAGCTTCGTGCCAAATTAAATACCACCATATAAATTGGAACGGAAAAAGTATATATTAGCAATTGAAATTTAAATATTTAAAGACAAAAATACCCATAAAATAAGTTTTCTCCGTCAGCGTAACAATAGAAATCACCAAACTTTTTATGTATGTTGAGATTTATCTCAAATAATTTCATTCACTTCATTAATTGGCAGCAAAATCACATAAACACACGGAGTACTTTATTATACTAGTTTTAGTATACGCGCGATGCGCGTGCACCTTGTACGATGCATATAAAATTATAAAAATATATGTCCTTAAAAATAATTTTTTAAGAATATAAGCTCTTGAAAATGAAAATATTGAGTCTATTTAGTAAAAAAAGTAGAGGCTAAGCATGAAACAACCAAGATGATATTGAAAGTTTAATATTCTTTTATATTAGTTTCGTATCAAAATAATGGTCTAGATGCCATGTATTCTAGACAAGTCTATTACATAAAGAAATAAATTAGCGATGAAAAAATTATCTAGTTAAATAATACAAAAAATATATCGCTAGTGACAGATCAATAAAAATGATCAGCTACAAGATAAATTTCGTAAGTTATTCCTATTTTTAAAGTTAAATTATTAGTTTCTTTTTAATATAAATTTTTATTGAGGCAATTTAGATATTTTTGTAAATTAAATTACGGTAATTAATTTTTTATCACAAATTAATTATTACTTTTTTCCAAAAATAAACACTCTCCCCTAAAACCTAATGTCGTAGAAAATTTTGAGAAATAAACGAATTTAACAACTAAGCTTCTAAAAAAATACTTTTCATTTAAATTTTAAAAACAATAAATAAATCTATGAAAGGTAAATAAAGAGGCAAAATTGGTCTTTATGATTAAACAAGGACAAAGAATAGAAATATTACACAAAATCGTGAAGTTTCCTTGTTGGAAACTAACGAAAATATTTCCTCCTACTTTTTTGGATTCTTTTATTGTCTTAATATTTTATATCCTTATTAGGAGAAGATATCAAACACTAAATTACTTAGAAAAAAACTTAGTTGATTTAGAACTCCTAAATATTTGGAAAGCTTTTTGATTTTACAATTTTATCCGATGTAAAATATACTTTTAAAGGGTAAAAAAAGCGAATGACATTTCGCTATGGGCTAGTCTTAGGGTACACGCTTTGCGCGTGTACCTATATTAATGAATACACAAATTTTAAAATTTACATACATGTTATTAGATAATTTGTTTGAGTTATAAAATATAATTTAAGATTTTTTTTAAAATAATAAATATTATTCCCATTTAGTTAGCTTAGCAAATGAATGAATTCTATTTATTTGATGCCTTATTGTTATTTTGTCTGGACTTATGTCCAAACTTATGAAAATTGTTGATATTTACAATTCTTTAAAGATTTATCAAATAACACAAATTAAAAATTAAATCTTTTGGTCTCTTAAAACTTTGCGAATGAAAAACGTTGGCATTATGCCTCTTAGGAATTTGATAGTGACAATATAAAGTTTAAAGAATGAGTAATATAGAACTAATATTTTACAAGAAAAAACTTAGTATAAAAATTGTAGCGAGACGTTTTCATTTGTTAAACCGAATACAGGAAAAAAACAAATTATAACTCATTTATAATCTAGTTGCCTTCTACAATTTTACCTTATTGCTTAAAATTTATTTTTTTCACCGATTTGAATCTTTATTTTTTGCTATAATTAATTTTGCTATATTTTATGATTTCTTTCACTATTGATATTCTTCTTACAAAAATAAATTTATGTACTTTAAGTGTTTTTTCAATTTAACAAAAAATAATTCTTATATGATAAATTTGTAAAATAATTGAATTGGATTCCTTTACTAATTAATTAATTCAACGACTTGATTATTTGTTTTCAACATTAAAAGAAATAACTTAATTTTTCTTAATTCAAATTTTGAATATTTGCTCATTCTAATTTTTAAATATTTGAGAATAATTATATTTTTTTTCAATAAGAATTCGATTTACAAATAGTAAGAAAAGACATATGTTTTGAATCTTTCGTTGCGTGCTTGACTCCTACATAATTGTGCTAACTCACGTTTTGCATAATAAAGAATCTTATAGGAATAGTTCAATACAACTCTAATATTAATGGGCTTTACATAAGGATTTTACTTGATTTTAAAGTCCTAAAATTAGAAAAATAATTAAATGACTATTTTATCTATTATAAAATCTATTTTTAAAGGGCAAAATTGACGAATGATATTTCGCAAAGAATTTATGCTGATATGTAGATAAAGATTTTAATGCTCCAATGAGATGTACAATTGCTCCAACCACACCAAATAATTATGATTTTGGGATGGTTCTAATTAAATCTATCAAATGTTAACGTAATATTTCAATAAACGGAGAGAGAAGAAACCAAAATTAAAAAGAACAACTTGTTAAAAAACTTATTTCGCCTATTTTTTCGCTTTTGGTTATCAAATTAGCCGATAAGTAACAGAAATAGACTAAAATAGTATAAAACTTACGTATAATTTGAATTTGCCTAAAGATCAAATTAACTATTTAAGTTCAAGCATAATTTATATTATTTATAATAAAACAAAAGGGTAAAGACTTGAAAAATAAATATGCCTGACGGGCATTTGGCTAAAGATGGAATTTTATTATATTTAACTATCTAAGTTTGATACTAAATATGATTAAATTATTTTTTATCAAAATAAAATGGCCAAAGACTTGGAAAAATATTGCCTAACGTACGGTTCTTAACATGGTTAAGAAGAAAAACTTGGAAACTTTGAAGGATTTAAGGAGAGTCCTAATATTTAGGATCTTGTATATAGTTAAAATAAGAAAGTATTTAATAAATGTATTTTTAGTTGATTTCAAAGATCAAATTTTAAGGAAAATAATTAAATGACTATTTTATCTAGTATGAACTCTATCTTTAGAGGATAAAAAAAGATATTTCGCTAAGAGTTTTCGTGCTTTTAATGTATGTATAGATTATTCACTCCATACCATAAAATAATAGTCTCTTTATTACTATTATTGATCGCAAGAATTAGCTTTGCATTATAATTGTAGAACCAATGGTGGTGAAGTAGAGTTAAGCCAAAGAAAATTCAAGGGCACAACACTGACATAACGATATGCTCAAATTGGCAAATTGCCACCTTTGACATGTCAAAAACGTTTGACCATCGTTTCCCTCAAAGCTTTCTCGCTTCTCCCATAGGATTTCTGTCCCTCACATTTCCCGGTTCTTTCCTTCCTCAACTAATAAAGCCGCCTGCTTGTTTCCTTATTACTGGGTTCTAATCTTTCATTGATTTTAGAAATTTTCAATTCCATTTTATAAGGATCTGCTTCGAGAGATTTTCAATATTGCAGGATCTCATCTGTCAGCTTCTTAGGTGAGGATTATTACAGAACTGAAATTCTTCAAAGCTTTGATCTTTCTTTTCTTTTAAAGTTCTATTGGTAATGTAAATATAGGAAGAGAGTGAAGAATGGGACACCCAGGTTAGAATTTGAGCTCAATTTATGAATGAGACTGAGTTCTTGAATAATAGGTACTAAGATTTAATTTTGATCTTCTGAGGAATTCCTTCATATGTTTGTTTTTGTACTCCATGTCTTTTTTCTCAACTTATGCAGAAAAAAAGACTTTTCTTTCCTTCAATTCTATCTTTAGATCTCAAGTTGAGGTTTATCAACACTTTTAAGCTATGTTGCTCGGACTCTCCGGAAATGTTGCCGGGTGCATGTCGGATCCTCCAAAAATAGTATTTTTGGAGGATTCGACATGGGTGCGGCATCATTTTGGAGAGTCCGCGCAACGTAGCTTTTAAGTGATCAAATGTACAATGAAGGATCTGCATAGTGCATAATCATTAATGAGTTACATAGATGAATTCGCGAGTCTACTGACTGTGAAGAGGATCAATCAATCCGCATTACTTGCAAATTTGTTTAAGTTTTTTGGTTCTTAGCTTACTTTAGGTGATTTACTTTTATAATGAATTCTTGTCAAATATGTGTATTCCCAAGTTCATTTTCCTTTTTGTTTAGTGATATCTTTTTATCCATGAGCAGGATTTAAAAAATAAAAACAGGAGGAGTATTGCCTGTCAATCTTCATGCTGCTTGCCGAATATAGTTGGAATAATCACAGTTATCTTAATCTTCAGTCTCAAAACTATGAATTTGCTTATTTGTTATGGGAATGTGTAGATTATCAGTTTGTGTAAATGAGCAGTGGTTCAACTTGGTTGATTTGGTTATTCTTTGTTCTATGATATGATCGTCATCCTGCATAAGTAATAATACCAAGACTTGCATAATAATGCGGGGAATTAAATACATTAGATGTATGAAAAAATGAATAATATGTTCTACATAGAGAAGTCCTATGCTCTACATATAAAAAGTTGAAAGAATACAAATTGAGATATTTTGGTACTTCAATATTTGAATGATAAAGTATCTACCATTTGCATGGTCATCTTAGATCGACATGTTTGCTGGATTCAAATTCATCAAATACTCAAGTTGACATCAGTGTAAACTCTCTCAGAGCAAAGTTGCTGGTGGAGAGTGAGAAGAAGTTATTTCAGTGCTATATCATAAAAACAGGGAACACTTGCAGTATAAAATTTTTGTGTAAATGAGTGACTTCCCAAAAGAAAAAAAGATATTTGTGTAAATGATTCATTTATCC